TGCCGCTGATGTGTGTAGACATTGGTAGAGGGGTCTGTAGGCTCTCTTGGGCGCCGACAGCCGGATGCTGGCGAGGGCTGGGCGAATTGACTCCATGGCGGTGCTGGGCGAGGGTGCAGATGGCGTGCACGCTGCTCCCAGCCCAGGTGGGACCGCCGCGGCGACTTTTTTCCAGCACGCCAGACGCGCTCGGACATCAATTGATGCATGGCCCGGGTAGCGTCGACGACTAATCTGGGGTTCTCCGCTCCGCAACCCAGACCACCACTCGCCGTCAACACACGCCCGTCGGGTAGCAGAGTCACGTCGTAGCGTTTGCCGATCGCCCTGTGCCAGCCTTGCTGAATATGCGCTGGCTTCTCCACAGCTTCTCGTCTCCTCGCAGCTTCTCCACTGTCTGGTCTGGCTCGTGATCGACCGTTGACGCGCATCTGGCAGCTGTTGCTACCCCACTCAAATCTACCTTCCCTGCAGCATCCAACACGGCCTTTGATGCGGTCATTCCCGTTTGCCGCTGAGACCACACTCTGCTTTTAATGAATCAAGGAGCCCCTCAGACGGCCTCTGCGAATGCTGCCGCGCCCCAGCCCAAGCCTATCCGTTTTGTGACGAACCATGATGGTCCCTATGCGAAGAGGCGGCGCATCAATTCCGCGTGCCTGACATGCAGGAAGAAGAAGACGCGGTGTTCTGGTACGGAGTTTGGCAAGTCTGTCTATCATTTGCTGACGGTAGAGTAGGTGAGCGACCTGTATGCGGAACCTGTGTCCAGAACAAGCACGAATGCGCCGGCTACGGAGACGATAATGGCACGAGCGAACACCAAAAAGATGGCAAAAAGGCTGCAAGAAGAGAAAGCTCCGTCTCAAATAGCGCGCCTTCCCGAAAACGAGAGCCTCCCATCGACCCGCTGCTCACACGGCCGCACCTTCCCCATACGACGTCGCAAACCTCCGAATCAAGCGTCCATGCCTCGCCCAAGGTCGAGTCGACAGGAAGCAGCGGATGCTTAAGCCTGAGCACGCGGAACAGAATGCCATACTTCAGGTACTTTGGCCCTACAGCCATTTTGCCCGGTTTGCGACAGATGGTGGTCAAAGTGCGAGGAAAGCAGCATGGTAGTGCTCAGACTACATCAGATCGTACGTTCATCCCGCGCACCATGGATATGCAGCTCATGATGCTGTTACCGGAGAGCACCTGTGTCTCAGAAGCCAAGCTCTCAGCCCATGAGGCTGTGCTCGTGCAAAGGCCGGCGCATCCGGCTCTTGCTGCTCTGCTGTAACTCCGTATCGTGTAGCTAACAAGTCCAGAACACGCAATCGAATCCTCACCCGCGCAACCATCAGTAGGCTCACCACCAGTGCCAGAAGCCCGTACACCCGCCGAGATACCCGTATACGACGCCTCGTCAATGTCTCCAAGTCCACTCATTACCCACCTCTGCAAGCTGTTCTTTGTGCATCTCGGCTGCTCCTTCCCATTCCTACAACGAGAGCGCTTCATGCGTGACTTGGAGGAGAAGCAGGTAGACGCAATCCTCGTAGATGCTGTCTGTGCGTTAGCGGCCCGATTTTCGACACATCCTATGCTGACAGGCAAGAGCGACGTGCAGAAGGAAGGCGATGCAGAACCCTCCACGATCCCGCCTTCTGAGCATGGCCAAGCGTTTGCGCAGCGAGCCAAGTCAGCTATTCCCGACGCTTTTCCGTGTCCCAGTGTAGCAGTGGTACAGGCGGCGCTGCTTCTTGCATATGATGAATTCGGTGCGAGTCGCGACAGTGGACTCTGGATGTATCTGGGGATTGCCATCCGAATGGCGCAGGATCTGGGCATGCAGTCTGTGGGAGGCCTGAAGTATGAGGGACGAAAAGGCCCAACCCCAAATTCTGTCAAGAGCGACCCGGATGGTGGACGGCATTCGGAGCAATCGACAGTTTTAGACAATCAGGGGGCTAGCGCAGAGGAGCAAGAGCAGAGAGCTGCCGAGCGAGAGAGGCTGGATACTTTCTGGTCCATCTTCTTCCTTGACCGCGTCATATCTTCTGGAACAGGACGGCCGGTGACCCTTCGCGATCGCGATATCGAGATCTCGTTTCCCTCTCTGGATGAAGTGGACTCTTCCGGTTGGCCATTGCCCTTTCCTGCGCTGATCCGCATCATTCATTTATACGGCCGTGTTACCGATCTTCTCAACCGGATACGAAGCGCCGCTGACATTACTGCTGACCTGCAGAAGCAACTCGGAGCTTGGGAAGATAGGCTGACAGGCATCTACCAGAACCTGTCGCCCAAGCTGCACTTCAATGCGGTCAACTTCCAGCAATACGTCAAGCTTCACCAGGGCACTAACTTTCTCCTCCTCCATTGCTGGTTCCATACCTTGATCGTTCTTCTGCATCAGCCAACGCTGCTCAGGACGTTCGAGGGAACCCCGCAATCCTTGTCCACCAATAGCAGAGAACTTTCTATGTCTTCCGCAAAGACTGTTGCCGACATCTTGGCCTTTACCGAGCTTATCGATGTGAAGACTGGTATCGGCAATCCTTTTACCAGGTACGAGAAGGTCAGGTTTCCAATGCAAAACTCTCATACTGACTGTTCTTCAGTCAACCCATATACATTGCCGCATGTGCTTTCCTCAAAGAGACGGCACTGCATTCGGCATCGTCGCAGCCCCAGTCTCGCCCTGCAAGCCCAGGTCGTATCGGGGAGAATTGGCAAAAAGCTACTAACCACCAATCTCTTGACCGTCTGGATCCAAACAATAGTTCTACCAGGGATTTGGAACAGAAGCAGACCGCCGCTAAGCACACATTGCTTGCTTCTGCGGCTAACCAAAATTATCAACGCTGCTATCGTGCCCTCAAAGCCTTGGAGACCTACTGGGCGGGTGTCAAGTACATTATGACTGTGCTAGACCAAAAGGCAAAGGGTGTTGGCGACCCCTTGCTGTACACTGCTGAGGAGATGGAAAGTGCATTAGAAGCCCCTCGACCCGAGCCATCTTTCACTAGCCCTGGTTGGAGGAGGAAACTGAGCTGGGGAACTTATCTGACTGCACAAAACTCTGACGCGGACGTCGCAAAGATGGCAGCGGCTATTCGAAAGGGCACGAGAACACCAAACATGCCTGGCTCGCCCATGGTACACCCCAGTCAAGGTATGTCGTCGATGCCCGTGTACTCGAAATCTTACTAACAGCTCATAGCAATCGGATGGTCGCTTACTGGTACCATGAACTCGCCATCAACCAACGTCGCTGTCATGTACACTTCCGAAAATGGCGAAAATCGGAGCACGAGGCCACCACCTTCTAAAACACTCCCTGCAAGCACTCAGCCTTCTATCGCGTCGTTGATATCCGATCCTCCCATCAAATTCGAGTCACGCCAATCTATAGCATCACCATCGGGTTTCTCGCAATTCAGCTCGTCATCCATGCCTCCGCCGCCCTCAAACCCAACCTTCAACCATATGCCCACACCAGACCCAGTTCTAGTATCAGATGCTGATCTGCTTCTGAACCTACATTCCCCGTTCTCGGGCGGCTCACCGACAGCGATAAGAACGCCATTACAAAATCCGACTTCATACACCCGCTCGTCTGCCCAACACAACCAGCTACAACCTACACCTCAAACGGAGTTCTCACCTACATTCGGAAATTTCAACACACCTTCAGACAACACATTCGGCGACATGGTCATCGACACCCAGGACGTCGACATGTCACTACTAGGCGCCGACATGATGCCTTGGGACTTGGAGTACCTACCCCACGATATGCTTTACTTTGGCGATGGCACCTTCGGAAACAATGGCTTTGGAGCAGATGGCGCGCCAGGAGATCATAACACCGGTTGATACCCTCGGCGCTGTCACAAATGTATACTAGACTACTGTGTGTGGAGTTTGCTTTTCCCATAGGGGGGTTTCGGTTGTCTCATTATGGAGTGGACCGGATGGAGTATGATACCATTTTGCCACTTTATATACTATATGAGTTGAGATGAAAGTCAATCACCTTGTCAATATGCTGTGTTTTGGCTGTGCTGCTGTTGGTTACTCACCTTACCCTGGCAACTACTTGAGGTTCGCAGAAGTCTTTCTCTACGGGGATCTATAAGGCTGGAGGTATTCGCTGTGGTTCAGGAGTGTACGGGCATCCAGCTGAGGTATCAAGTCACATCACGGTACCTCAACAAGGTCATGTTCTGAGACTGGGGTATACTTGTATAACTCCACGGTCATGTGAAAAACTTGATCTGGAAGGAAGGTTTTGATTAGACATAGTGCTCTAGTGTGCTTTGGGATGGTAGTTGGAGACATGCAGAGGTATTCTTGATTGACGGCAGTGCTCTGGTGTACTTCCAGATGGTGCCATCAACAGCGATAGTGTATAGACACGTACCAAAACATCCAAATACACGGCATGTCGAGGGAGATACAAACGCGCTACACCTTGGAGATAGCTGGCTGATATGGAGGTCGGGAGGTATTCAGTGCTCACGGTATCTACAGAGTGATAGTCGTGAAGGTACTGAATAGCACAGGGTACCGTAAAGACATCGAGAATGAGAAGACTTTTATCATTGAATGCCTCTTCGCTATGGTATCTACGTACAGGTATGGCTATGAACACAGTTGAGGGACCCCACGCTCCACCATCATCTCTCGAAGTAGTCGTATACGAAACCCGTTTTGGTCGGCACAAAGTGTTCGAAAGAACACGAGATGACATCGCCGAACGTCTCCATGTCGCGCTTCAGCGCCTTATCACTTGTCGTCTCATGCAACTCGGGATTGCTCCGGACGCGAAGGTGGCACGTCTCCGCGTCCATGTCATTCTTGTATTCCAAGCTCCTCAAAGCAACGGTGAAGAGGTCAATGCTCAGACCACATTCGGAGAGGTGCGTGATGACTTGGCGCGTGATGCTCTCGAGCGGCGAGACATCGTAACACAGATCTCGTTCATCACCCCTGGCGACGAGTTGAAGTTACTTGAGCTGTGGGTAGGCTCGGAGAACCTTCGCGAGGCCCTTCAGTTGTGCCTTCATGTGGGCGTCGAGGTTGTTATCTATCACGGCCATCTCGATGAGAGGGCATGCGATGGCGAGGTCCGTGAGGTAAGGGCAAACTACTCCGATGTATGACAGATCGTCATGGCTCATCTCAGAGCGGAGGCTTTGCGTCAGGGTCAAGCTGCGAATGGTATAGTTGACGGGACCGAAAAGGCGAGCCAGCGGAAACCGACCATACTCTGTGACCCAGACGGAAGACTGGCCTTGAGGAGGTTGTACGTTGCTCACTGCCTCCACTTCGTCCTGACGGGCGTTTGGCGCAGACTTGTCGTCGGCAAAGTCATCGTTGGGATCGTCCAAATAGTCGTTGAGGATGCCAGGTAGGCCTGCATACGGACTTGAGACCTTGACGACTGGTGGAGTTGTATACCCGAGTGACAGACTACGCAAGTTGCTGGAAGAGCGAACAAGCTGTACAATGGCTTCTTCCTCGTCGGTAGTGATGTGCTGGTCGTGAACAGAGAAGAGGAAGGTCTCCACGTCGGCGGATTGCTTGCGTAGACCGTGCAAGAACTCGGCGTTGCCCATACATCCGTTGATCTTAAGAAGCTTAAGGGAACTGAATGAGAACGTCGCGGGTACATCATCTGGCTCCGAAGAGAGCAATCCTTTGCCGTATGTGGTGCAGTCGATGTAGCTTAAACGTAGCTCCTGTAAGGCAATAGTCCTCGACCAACCCATACCGGTAACAATGGGTCCAAGCGGCAGTGCGGGACGAGGCGCAATAGGAGGTTCAGCAAAGATACTAAAGCCACGTACTTTGTATCCGTTGGTTTCCGCGACTAGGGAGCGCCAGAGACCGACAGGGGCATTCCAGTGACTCAGCACATCTAGCCTTTCCGAGTGATGGCCTGGAGCGTTGATAGGCGCAATCCGCTTCCTCTTCAGAGCGACATGCATGTTGAACGGGCCTGTTTGCTGGAGTATATGTGCCTCGTGGTACTTGTCATCGAGTGCTAAACCGTTGGGGGTAGCGATCTTGTTGTGGTAGTTGATGTGCTCCAGCTGTTTCGCGGTCTTGGGCTTCAGTAGAGTCCAGGGGCTCGTTAGGTTTGCGGTTGCTGCTGCGTTATCGTGCATCGTCGAGATGTTGGTGATGTCGCCGTCGTACCATGTTGGAACAACGATGACTTCTAGCGAGGGAGAACTGGAACTGAAGAATTGCTTGAGAGCTGGCAGGGCCTCCAAGCCGATAGTGGACTCCATTGTGAACGATACGATGCGTAAATTAGCATCGGTTCGTGGAAACTTGTGGAGTATTGGCTCAAGCCCAACCTTCGATGTAGTCGCGAAGGTGTCGAAGAGTACGCTTTTGATGAGGCTGAAGTTGTGTACGGTAGAGCCTTCGATGAGGTATTTCAACTGGGGTAGACTCTCGGGGTCAAGGCAGAATTCCATCTCGTGGTAGAGAGCACTGAGGAAGTAGTCCGCCATATCATGTGTACCAGCGGGGATACCATCACGCTGCTTGAGAACGGATGCGCACACGAAGCGCTCCATTAGGTCACATTTGGTGAGCTGGATAACGTTAGCTCGTGTTGTTTGAAAGAAGCGCAGTGAACTTACGTTGGCGGTAATCATGTCCTTCAGCTCTACCGGAAGACGCCAAAATCGCGCCTCGGCGAGGCGGGACAGTTGCTGAGAGTATTTTGGCTTCTTGGGGACGGGCTCAGAGGCAGTGAAATGGAATACAGGCGACTCATCAGCGACGTATTTGCGCTTGGAGTCGCGCGCGAGTTCGTCCATGTTGTGTTGTGAGTAAGGGCGAGTCGCGGAGAAAAGACCTGGCAGTTGTATAGAAGATAGAAATTTGGGCGAGCTTGGTGGCCTCCGTTTGCTCTTCGAGCACGTGGAGAGTCGAACGGCGGTGACTGAGCGCTGTCCTTCCTCGAAGCCTGCTGATTGGTCGACTACAGACCGCGTCTAGTTTGAGACTTGCCCTTGGGATATGGCTCACTGCGATCGCTATAGGAAACAACATACAGGCAGGGCCTCTACACAAAATGACCTGCTAGCGACAACTGACAGCATTCAAGTCACATCCGAGCTACCTTTCTAGGTGCATTTCCATCATCGTCTTCATCTTCACCTTCACCTTCACCTACGATTACATCATCTACGAGCCACGTGATGTGGTCCGTGGAGGCCTAGTGCCTTGGCAGCAGAACCAATATCTACTGCCTCGCTCTGGCCACAGTTCCTTTTCTCTTCTGCAACCACTTCTCTTCTTTTGTTCTTATAGCAAACGCTGTAGTCTGCGCTTCCGTGGAATGCTAGGCATACAGATAGCGGAACCCCCGTTAGTCAGAGATTACCTAGGGCAACATGTCCTCGAATCTGTCAGACAACAGCGTTTGCACCTTAGCGGTCAATCAGAATAAGATCTCCTTATAAGCTTGTGTTCGTACCAGCTTCTTCTTCCATCTTTATCGCCTCGGCCGCCTTCAAGATCTTGTACATGCCTACGGGCTCAATCCTACATGGTATTCGACAACTGGGCTCCGTTGGGCGAACGCGACCTCTCGCATCCCAGACATTACCCTAACTCAGAGCCTTGCTTGTGCAATTTGCCGCGAGTTAGTACCTCCACCGCTTGACCCTTGGAGTCTATATCAACACAAGTTAGCATGTGTTCGATGAATCGATCGGGGCTAGTCTACGCGTCGGGAATGGCGGCGTAATGGATTGGCGATGATGAGAATAGTCTGAGTCAAGAAGCTACGTTTCCGGGAACAGTGGATTTTTTCGTTGGGTCTTGCGGCTTGCTGCTGGCTTGAAGAAGGAGTGAAACATCCGGCGCGACTGACAATCGGATAGACACAGCTAACACTGCCAGACATGATCAAAGCCGGGCTTACTAGGACAGAATCGGGGTACCTGGTTTCGAGTGTTAGCAAGAGCATCCCATACTGGACAACGTAAACATACCTCCACAGCTGGCGCCTATGGAGTCCGCATCATTGCTTGGGGAGTGGTGAGGTTCCATTTCCGACGCAGGTTGAAAGCAGTTTGTGATGTGAGTAGCGATCCTACACGCGCAGAATGCAGACAGAGAAGACAAAAAGACACCACACGCGCGAGGAGACTCTGGAGTGATGCCTGGTCATCATTCCATACGTTTGAGCGCGCAGTCCCGCCGCGCGCAGCGGCGTATCGCAACTGCGCATAACCATTTAATTAGTGCATGTCGCGCGACCCGCCAGCTTGTCCAGAGGGCGCAGCCTTAATCGGACGCCACAAGCCGTCTCCTTTGCTTCACAATACAGTACTGTCGTTCTTGTCCTGGAATGCGTCGCGCCGAGTAGTCGCCATCCGAGTCGGGTTCAAAAGGATTGAGGTTTAAAGCCTTGGAAAGGTGCCCGGATGGTAGTGGGGTAGGCAGACAAAGCCGGCGTTCAGGGGTGTTGCATGTGACGTCGCACGCAAAGTCACCATTGTCGTCAGCAAAACAATGTCGCTGAAATTTATAGGCTACACGCTCACAGCGCAACTAACAATGACGCCGCCTGAAAACCGATGTTAAAGACTTAGCTTGCCACACGGCTGCTTTGGATCCAAATCTCGTTCGTTCTTGCGCACCCCTGTTCCGATGCATACGACGCGTTCCGATTCCGACGCGTCCTCTTCGCGTAATGCAGAAGCTCTTGACGGTATGCGTCCTTCAACCAGCGCGGCGCACCATACCGACACCATCAGGAACAACACAATTTTGACAGTGTGCTCACCGGGGACATCAAGTGTTCCAAATATCGGAGCTGCTCGACGTCATCTCTTGTTTTGCGGGACCCAAAGTACAAGTCTTTGCATGGAACGTGTCGCGAACCTGGCGGCGTTCTTCCAAGCCCGTCATCAGCAGCAGCAACAGGCAATCGTACTAGCAGACCTACCTACCAAAAGATCTAGTAAAGTATAGCCTCCTCGTCTCTACCACTAATAAAGCAAGGTGCGATCTAAGTAGGAACGAGCTCGATAAGTTCAACTAAACGGCTACTCGTCTGACAGAGCGGGTTAAAATTGGGCATACTAGATTCATTGCAACTACTCTACCTGTCTGGTTAAGAGGGATGCTGTTATACCTCCTTGCTCGATACACATAGTGCGCAAAGCTTGCGGCCGCTTGTGCATTACAGTTCAAAGATATGCAGGCATCTTCTAACCAACTCTGCCTGCGGTACTCACCTAGAGTACCCTTTTCGGTCACGAATTCTCGACTGCTCAGATGATTTCATTGTAAGGGCACGATGCGGTTTACCGTAGCCATCGACGTCATCACACCTAGCATGCACGCTGTCAGGAAACCATGTCAACACCATGTTTGAAATCAATCTCGTTCCTAGACTCCTGACGGTATATTCCACGGGCTCAAGTTCAAAATCCCAACAACCGTCGAGAAGCAACGCAACATCGCCACCGCATTCATGGCTACTCTCGGGGATATGAGGAAGCAGTTGTCCGATATTGTAGCCAATGTCAAAACGAAAGGCTATCAGATAGAGGACGCCATCCCGGACGTCTTGCGCGATCACTTCAAGGAGTTAAGCGAACTCAAAGCAGCGCGAGAGTACATTCGGGAGATTCAAGATCGTGAGCAAGACCTGCAAACTCATAACAATGTATTGCGGGCGAAAATCAAGGAAAAGGAAGCAGAGATTGACGACCAACCAGCAGAGTTCAAGGCGCTCAGAGTCGATCTCCAACAGGCGCACCGGCAGATCGAGTACTACCGTGAGCTTGCTGAAGATTCGCAACGGCGTGCACAACGTTACGAGCGCGAGCTTGCTCTCGCTGTCACGGACCAAGCTGCCTCCGACGAAATTATCGCCAGAGCTGACCGTTTGCAAAAAGAGCTAGAACAACTTCAGTGCACCAATGTGCAACTACAGGCCGAGAACGAACGGGCAGCTGAAACTTTCACCAACCTTCGCGCACACGACGCAGCGATCATAGCAGCCAACGAAGCTAAATTTGCAAAGATTCTGTCTCATACGTCTGAAGTCGAGAATGAAAGCGAGCAATTTAGCGAAACGTTTACTACGCTCATTCATGACTTAGAGTCTGAGGTTTTATCTGCTTCCGCCTCCCTTAACGACAAGGCTGCTCTGGTACAGAAAACAGAGACGCTGTATAACGCCATCGTTAGTGAGGCAGCACCTTTAGATCGGTTCTTCTCTCGCGCATTCAGGATATTGAACATCTACCAAATTCTTTTCCGGTCGCTTTCCGATCCAGCCCACTCCAGCACTTCAAGTTTGCCCCTTGAGCTAGATCCGCTCATGGAAGGAGCCAGCCAGGACTTGTATGTCTACGAGCAGGTGCATCGGACGATGTGCGAGGACCCTGGGCTTGCTGGGGAGCGAGCTCGTACACATCTCAATGGTATTTCGAAAAGCGCGAACGAGATGATGCAAAGCTTCAATTCCATCAAAGCTGACGTAGCAATGTTTTTGACTCGTCTGAAGAAAGAGCCATGCAGTTGGGTGGCTATGAGGGCGAAATTTGGTGGGTCTAGTAAGAAGAAGGGGATAGGAAAGCGGTTTTCCACGGGCTAAGGCTCTAAAGACGCTCGTTCGAAGTCATCTAGTGGACTTTTTGCGATTTCGTAGTTATTTCATGTATTACACTCTATTTACCATCGTGCGCACAACTACAACCAGGACCAGTATCACTTTTTGCCCTTTCCAAGACCATTAAACCGGCCTTGGCTTTCTCTCATCCCCAAAACTATGACGGCAAGCATTGTGCACCTACAGCATATGAAATTATTCTTTTGGAAGATGCAAGCTCAACACCTTGCGAACATCGCAAGAGCATGCCCTAACTAGAATCATCTAGATGGGACGCGCTATGTGTATCGAGGTTGTAACTAGTATCCCGTCCCGCTGAGTAGTAGCTAGGTACGTCGACAATGCAGCACCCGAAACTCACGCGTGTGAATACATATCGTCTAGTGAATGTCTACACCAGGCAGGTACATTTAGCGTTGTAGATCTCTTCTATCTTGAGATCACCCCAGCTTTACTCAACTATGGTTCTTGATGCTGTTGCTACTTCCGAAAGCGCTTTGTTGCGTGCTCTGGAGATGTTGAAGGCCACTGCAGGTCCTGGAACAGTTCATCATCCGTCCGACTCAATTGTCACAGGCGAGACAGATGACAGCGTAGATGAGTATCAGCCGGGTCAAAAAGAGTCGGAACAGGATCACGCGGACGAAACAACATTAGTTACACTGAAGAATGCTCACCGGGTCACTCAGCGCGCTATGCTTACCATGGAAAGAGAGGGGAAGCAACGCCATGCAGACGAGCAGGTCGGGTTCATCATCATAAAACGCGACAACAACAAGCCAGATGCCTATGGCGAGTCGTCTGAAACATACGGCCCACTGCCGTGGCCGGGGGTCGCCGAAGCATACAACAAAAAGTACGATATGTCTGTCGGTCCAGCGGCGATGGAGAAGCGCGCGCGACAACACCGACCTGCTTGGTTAGCCAAACATCCAGGTTATCCCCTCAAAATAATGTACGCAAAGAAACCAAAGACACAAGCCATTCGGCGCTCGAAGGTTGCCGCCCTACACGCCCAAGCTCCTTGCGTGCAAGCCTACACCAGCAACCAAAAGGTTCGTGGTCCTACTGAGGTCTCTCATGCTGACAGACCGCAGATGCGTGTGGACAAGCGCGAAGGTTCCATCTCCAATGAACGCATCGCCGGATGGATGCCTCCAGATGCCATTCGAAATCGAGCAGACGTACATAACTATATAGACGACCTAATGTCAGCACACGTCGAAAGGGTTGTACTAGAGGTACATGACGCACATGACTCACCATCTGAAGTTGTTATCGGCGACCTCGAATACCTTGGTAGCAGCTCCGTGGTGCTTCAGCAATTAATGGCTGCCGACAGCGAGACGACAGTACAGGTTGATTGCTCATCCCTAGAGGTCGTTCAGTGGTACGTACAATGCAGCTCAGCCGGATGTTTGACGAAAGCGCCGGTAGATCTCCATCACGGAAACGGCTCACTCATGGACCTGTACTGCTTGGCTGCACAGCTTCAAGACGACGACGTGTGCGGGCTGATATTGACACTGTGGCGTAGTCTTGCGGAAAAGAACGTCGAGATGGATTTAAGTGTCGAGAGCATGAACTTGCTCTTCGAAACCACTCGCTACGAGGATCCAGCCCGCGGATTTTGGGTTGATATCGCCCATAGAGCGAAAATAGCTCCTGAACTTATCAAGATGGGCGGCTGCAATGCGGAACTGATTGCTGCAATTCAGAGCAAAGGACCATGAGTATTCACCTGAGTTTGGCGGGACTTTCTGGGCCGGGGAGTCGCCACAACGACGATAGCTGTCTAAGCCTGGTGGTTTGAGATTAGATATAGGACGAGGCGGCTTAAGACGATTCGACCTGTCCACGGGTTGAGACATGATCTTGGAATAGTCGATGTAGTTCGATGCAATTCAAAGACGTATACATCAACTGTTAGTCTTAATCGCTTTGTTGTATCCAGATAGCCCCATAACGCTTGATCCCAGTCCTCGGTGGTGCCGGATCTAATGCATCGTCTCGTTTATAAGCGCGCTAAACATGTCCATTTTGACGCAGTGTTTTTGGGCTTGACTCAGAAATCCGCCCGGTGACCTGAACAAGATGTCTTCGGAGCAAAGTCCAAAGATTTCGTAAGGATCTAAAGACAAACGTCAAGCGCTGTGATTAGTATTAGCAATCGACGAGGAGAGAAACGGCCCGCATTACCGATCACCACAATCTGATAATTAGACCTCCCCTTTTTGTACCTAGGTTGGATCAGTACTCACCCACCGCACGCCGCACGCCGCACGCCGCACGCCACACGCCGCAACCTAACCCAGCAGTTGAGTGTCAGCTCAAGGCGGACTGCAACTCAAGCTAGAATAGCCAAGCCTTCGTAACGTAATCTTCTTCTTTTGCTGGCATGCTAACCAAAGTAGTCCCGGAGTTCATAATATTAGCCTCTCCACACACAGAGCGTATGCCTCTTAACGTAGTAGAGCTTTCGTGAAACCGTTGGTTTAAGGTGTTGTTGACCTGACCGAAGCTGGCACGGAGACAGGCTCTCCGTAGCGCCTGTCCGCGTTGGTCGTAACCTCGGGAACGCCACAGTAGCGCCGTCGCTTACGGCTGGGCAACCGAGTGATGGGGGCTCCTCCGTTGCACCACGACATCCTCACCCCATCACTCGTCCATAACGCGCCAATGTGCATACACCTAGCTCTCATCTAATCGAATTTTGCTTGAGACCCCGGCATGCAACGAGGCGCTTCCAGCCGACTGTCATGCAGAAACAAGCGTCAGCAACCGCCCTAGGCCATGTGCTGTGCCATGCGCTTGCGCTCGCGCCAATCCTCGACATCGGAGCTCATTCGCGGATAAAACCGCTACTATCAAGACAAGCCTTTCTATCACCTGGGGTCACCTCCTGCGTCAGTCTTCAATGCCTCGTCCAGCATGATCCTGCTGATAGCTTTGTGCTGAGCTCGCCCAGCGCCGCCGTTGGCACGGGCGATCTACATTCCAACTAGTGTTGGCCATTGTCTGCTGATTTTGAAGGATTGCCCTTCTATTTTCTAGACCAAAAGCATACGTGGGGATAGGCGATCTGTCCCCAATACTATTGCGAGTTGGAGCAGCCCTGTCGAGACCGGCGAAATGGGATACCTTGATATGACAAGGATATGTCCCGGGTTTGTGAACACCAGGAGATTCCCCGCGTTCTATTGTTTCGCTATCAGGGACCTTGTCGGCGTACTGGGATCGTCTTGGCCTAGTGGCAGCTGTCGTGCAGCAGCCAGCACGATTGCCCACGGTCCACGATTCCGATAGTTGTGCCTCTCGATACTACACTTCTCCCAAGTATGTGGCGTATGCGCTTGAACGGGACGGTTGAGGCTTGTTCGAGATGCTGGAGCCGCTTCCCGATTAGGATGCGGGCCAGAGCCTTCCGTGTCCATTTAGCTCGGGAACATATTTCCAGAACTGCGAGTCCGACAGCACGCCGCTGGGATGCAGCATTAGCCGGACATTGCGGGCCATAGCCCGGCAGTCTGGTCTTTGAGGTCCTTCCCTTGTGCATATCCGATTTTGTTTAATAGTCCACCCGTTTCCCAGACGTATTCCACACAGCTCATCTGGAGTGTCTCCACCAAAGCAATGTCGGACATCAAAGAGTCTTATGCTACGACGACCTCAGAGAATGGCGTAAGTATCATGTTAAAACTACGAGCCGTTGACTGTACTTACACCTACCAGGACCACAAAGGTGCTGTGGCTGACATCGCCATCATCTCTGGCTCTGAAGCCATAGCAGAAGCCAAGCTGAAGGAGCCTGTTCAACGTTTCTCCAGCTCTGCTATGCTGCTTTACGTCTGTGCATTTGTGGGATTCTTTTGCTCGACATGCAACGGGTTCGACGGATCCATGTTCAACTCGCTCCTCACCAACAACACCTTCAAGGAGTACTACAACGTCGAGAGTACTGGAGCCTGGGCTGGTATCGTTACGTCTATGTACCAGATCGGTGGTGTTGTTGCCCTTCCCTTTATCGGCCCCGCCTGCGACACTTGGGGTCGTCGCATTGGTATGATGATTGGCGGAGTTCTTGGCTGCACTGGTGTCATCATCCAGTCAACTGCTCCTGCGTCCAACCCTGTCGGGCAATGTAAGCAACGCCCATATACGACGTCTCGATGAGATTTATGCTGATTCCGCGTTCCTCCTTAGTCATGGGAGGTCGTTTCCTCCTCGGCTTCGCAGTCCCAATCATGACAACCGCTGGTCCGCTTCATGTCATCGAGACTGCGCATCCCGCTCACCGTGGTATCATCACTGGTCTTTACAATACTTTCTGGTTCGTCGGATCACTTCTCGCTGCCGGTGTCACACGTGGGTCTGCCAATCTCGCGGGTAATCAATCTTGGAGGATTCCCGTCTGGCTTCAGATGCTCTTCCCAGCCTTACTCGTTATACTACCTCTTCTTCTTCCAGAGAGCCCTCGCTGGTTGTACACTCGCGGTAAACACACCCAGGCCAAGAAGACTCTCGCCAAGTACCATGGTTGCGGCAACGAGGACAGCATCTGGGTTTCCATGCAGATTCGCGAATACGAGGAATACCTCAACATGGACGGAGGAGACAAGCGCTGGTGGGACTACGGCTCTCTCTTCAAGACTCGTCCTGCGCGCTACCGCCTCGCTTGCAATTGCATAGTCGCGATCTTCGGTCAATGGGCAGGCAATGGGTAAGTCTGCTGGACTAGTACAAGAAACGAAGTCACTAATCGTGTGTCAAACAGTGCTGTCGACTACTTCATCTCTGGTGTTCTCGAATCTGCAGGCGTCACGGACGAGATCAAGAAGATGAACATCAACTTGGGAAAGAGCTGCATGCAGCTTGCATTCGTAAGTCTATTCACAGAAAAGCTACATGTACGATTATTGATTGCTGGCGCCTAGGCTGTCGTGGGAGCTCTCTGCGTCGACAGACTGGGTCGACGACCCATGCTGATCGGTACTTTTTCGACCGTGACAGTAATTTGGGCCGGGGCCATCGGCGCTGTTTCTTACCAGAACAAGACCGGAAGCATTCCTGCCGGTAATGCCTTCGTAGCATTGGTCTTCCTCTTCAACGCCGTCTTTGCCTTCGGTATTACTCCGCTCCAGGCCCTCTATCCCGTTGAGGTGCTCTCATTCGAGATGCGCGCCAAGGGTATGGCCTTTTCCAACTTGGCGCTTACCACAGCCATGTTGATCAACCAATTCGCCTATCCTATTGCTCTGGAGAAGATTGGCTGGAAGCTGTACATCGTCTTCGCCTGCTGGTGCCCGGTCCAGGCGTTCGTCGTCTGGCTCTTCATTCCGGAGACCAAGAACCGCACGCTCGAGGAAATCGATGACATCTTCAACGCGCCGAACCCGAGGAACGCGTCGCTTGTCAAGAAGAGGGTCGCCACCGACGCGCAAGGCAACGTTCTTGAGGTCGAGAAGCTGTAAGCCTCTCATCAGCAATTGGTGTACATGTCGCACTCTCCTGTATACATGCACATGTTGTTACTGCTTTAGTAGTCAAATTTGGAATATCTATAGATTAGATTGATGTATCTACCGCTCTCTGCGAAAATGCTCATCTTCAGAAGCTTTGGAAATAAGCACAACAATCTATAGCCGAACGCATGAAAATGAACAGTTGAAATACATTCATTTAAAAGACTTTCACTGCCCCTTCGCGGACGGCTCGTGACTGCACATCGACCGCGCGATCCTATTCGCTTCATTCATGGCAGCCTTCTTCTCGTCTTCACCAGCTTCTCGCGCCCTCTGCAGCGCCATCTTCGCCTCGTACAGACGACTTTCCATGTCCAACACCATCTTCTCTGTATCTAGCATCGATTGTGTCGAGTTGTCATGCTTCAGCTTACTGGCATTGCTGGTGCTGGAGTACATGATGCTAGTCAGACTGCTTGTTGAGTCAAGTCCTTCGGAGAGACGGATCAGTGCTTTGGGAGATGACGAAGCGTATAGGGCATCGATGTTATGGGTAGCCGAATGGACGCGGTGGGCGGTGTAGCAAGTTTCCGAGCCTGCTGCATGATGGTGATATCGCCTGCAAAACTCGTCTCGCGCAGTCGTTGCGTCAAGATAGTTGTCTTCTGGGTGAGACAATATTCGCTGCACGTCTTTTGACAAGGCCGGAAACCATTCAGCCTTTTTTACCTCCTCGCCTAACGAGTAGAGCAAGTCTGCGAGAAATCTCCATACTGGCGTACTTGCTGACATCTCGGCTAACAGTACCATGAAGTCCCTCTCGAAGTCTTTGGCTGTCACGCGAGCCAGCGTGTTGTCCACGGGTGGCAGTTTACTTCCAACGAACACCTGCCGACCACCAATATTGACGTAACCATCGACAGGCTTACCCATGTCTGCAAAGATGTCTTCATATCTAGCTTCTTCAGCAAATAGGAAGTGCAGTCGATCAACCAACATATCGACAACCCAGTACACTTCCATCCACTGCGCGAAGAGCAGAAGATCAAGAAGGGCGTCTATACTCCAGATGATCTTCTCCACACGTATCGCCCCATAGCGATCGTACACGCCTGAAACAGGTTTCTTCACTGACCAGAGTTGGTGTGTGGGCAGCTCATTCGCGCGCTCCGGCGAGATGAGCTGGATGAAGATGTTCACTGTTCGTGTAGTGATATAATCTGGGACGGTGATGATGGTATTCCTGGGATCTTCTGCTGCTGTTCGTGCGT